CACAGTTCCTCAGTTTCTTAGAAGGCCCCAGCTCTGTACCAGTGGGATGTGAGAACATGGGGTAGGGATTAGGGTTAGAGCAGGAAAATAAGACTGATTGGAGGCAGAAAAGTGGAGCAGATGGTACATATATATCAGTATTTAACTCCCTAGGCTGGACTCACATCAGGAGCTCACGTGATCCTCCCCCTCCCATCCTCCTGAGTAGCTGGGAATAGAGGAGTTCACCTCCAAACCTGGCTCCTCTATATTTCATTTTTTTACTTTTTATTATGAGGGATTGAACCCAGGGCACTTAACCACTGATCCACACCCCCAGATTGTTTTATTTATTATTTTAAGAAGTCTTGCAAAATTGTTGAGAGCCACAGCTGAGTCGGAATGGCCCCTCGCATTTTGCCAATAGTATTGATTGTCAGGGGAGGCATTACTATCCACCTCAGTCGCTACTTTGCAGTTCTCATGCTACTTTGGGGTTCTCCTTGGGATTCCCGGGGATTCCCAGAGAGTTCCCATTGGTTGGGAAAGTGCAGGAGGAGGGATTTCCGGAGGATATTATCGGCTGCCGGTTCCTGTACGAGCCGCGTGGCGTTCAGGAGGAGTTCCAGGGAGCGTGTGTGGAGTGTGCTGGTGGAGTTCAGAAATAAAGGTTGTTCCTGTTCAGTGGCTCGTGATGTGTGCCCAGCCAGACTGCGGCACAAAATTGCTGTGGGTCGTTTGAAATTGTGATCATCCTGCATCATTCTCCCAGAGCTGCTAAGATGGCAGGCCTAAGCCACCACACCCAGCTCTCCCTGTATTTCAAAGGCCAACTTCTCAGTCCCTGAATTACCTCCACCACTACTACCCTCTCTTGTTTCCATCCTATAGAATGGGCTGGTGAAGCTGGGAGTCTTAATGGTTACAGCTTTACCCTTCTGGTCCTGGGGATCATTTTCTGACCTCTTTTGTTCCCCTGAACCAGCAGGAGAACTAGTGGGTAAGTCTACTTATGAGGACTCTGGAAGAGCCCATGGTCCCCACAGTGCAGGAGAAATGCAGAAAAGGAGCATCCCTCCTTTAAGAGGCCCAGCCTGCAGCCTCCCAGCACCCACCACTGTATTCACCAAATGGTGAGGGGACCCTTCCCTGTTTTATAGAGGAGATATGACTTGCCTACATTCATGTGGCTGGCATAGAGAGTGAGACCAGATGGGTATTCAGGGAGATTCGTACATCTTCCCCAGCATTACCTATCCAGGTAGGTAATGAGGAAAGGGCAAGGAACGGGGCTTTGGTCATCCCTGCACAGTATGCAGCAACCCCTACTATGGCCCAAACACCCATCTCAAAGAGCCCTGTGTTGTCCCAGCTCAGGGAGTCACTCCTAAGTTGGGGGCAAAACCTATTCCCAAGACCCCTCTTCACAGGGCCTATTCCCGCCAGGTCCTTCTCTCCCAGAGCCCAGGCCCAGGCAGGACCTTCAGAGGCAGCTGCACAATGCAGTAGACAGTTAGGCCATGACCCAGGATCTGCCCTTCTGGGAGCCTGTCTACTGCTTGTGCCTCACTTTGCTCATCCTTAAACCAGGCCAGGCTGTTCCTTTGGTTCTAAGATTGTTTGTTTGTTTTTAAAAAATTTCCAATTTTTTTTTTGTCCTTTGGATCTGCAGTCCTAACATGCACTAATGCCTGGCTTTGGTCCTTTACACTTCCAAAAAAAAGCCAAAATGGAGAGTCATGGGTCATTAAATCTTCTGACGTGTGCATCACTAGACAGTCTTGTAGTTGTGAGAACATGACAGAGAACTTACACAAACCTAGATGCTACAGGTCACTCTCCTTTTGCCTCTTTTATTATTGTTATTTTTATTAATAATATTATTATTTTCAAACTGGCAATTTAACCCAGGGATGCTTGACGACTGTACCCACCCTTTTCTTATATTTTATTGTGAAGCAGGTTCTCAGTAAGTTACTCAGGATCTGATTCTGGCTTTGAACTTGCAATCCTCCTCCCTCAGCCTCCCGAGTCACTGGGATTGTAGGCCCTCACCACTGCACCCTCTTCCATTTTACCTATCGATGGAAACAAGAGACCCAGTAAACATGAGCTGGTGTCACAGGGGGCATTGCTTTCCAGTTTATTTTTTTATAAGGTCCAAAGACTCTAATGATCAGAAGTGAAGTATCGTAAAAACCTAAATATTCACCCTTGCCTACTGTCATCAAGTGTGCTATAATTGAACATGCTCTGCTTTTTACCACTGGCCACACAGTAGGTTTATTTACGTGTAGTGTGTTGCACTAGGGTGTTGAAATGGCTATTGCATCACTGGGCGAAGGGAGGTTTCCGGCTCCTTATGTGCATGATATGTGGCCATGAATGAGGGGAATGACCTTTTGCAGCCCAGGACTATCCTCAAGGTTTCCTTAGTCCTCCCCAAGACAGAGGAGATTCTGGCTACACCTCCTGGTTCTCTCTTCTTCTGTGACCCAAGGCCTGTGCCTCCCTCCTTCCTACCACCGCCCACTCTGCTTCTTGCTGTGGGGGGAACCTGGGGGCTTGGCAGGGCCCCACCCTGTGTCCTGAAGTAAGGCCACGAGTGGCTGCCACCCAGGTTCTTCCTTCCAGACCCACAGACACCATTGCCCTGGCTCCCCTGCCAATGTGTGCAGACTCCTCCGCCCTTGGTCTTGTCTCCTTCCAGTTTGGTTCTGTTTGAAGTTGAGGGGTGCATGGAGCCATGCCTGAGAGGCCAGAGATCCACATTGAATAATTGTTTCTCAACTTTTGGATGAATTACCACATAGATGATTAGAGAAGTCCCCGGAAGGGTAAGGCTGCTGCGGGTTTTGCTGACCCAGCACACTCAGGCCAACAGTGCCCAGGTCAGGAGACAGAGGTGACTGCACCTCCAAACCACCCTTTGG